GAGAATTTGATTAATAGGTGAAAGAGGAACAAATGACATTATTATTATTATTATTATTATTATTATTATTCAACCTGTTAGTTTCGTCCCAGGATATGATGCTGTTCTTAGCTTCATCATCAGCCCATTTTGTGCGTTTAGCATTCTAAACTGGTAGACAAATGAAGGGCGTAACTGAACTCACTCTTCCGGTTGTCAGGCCAACGATTATCCATAGGGCTTATTGCTCGCTAAACCGGTTAAATCTACGGTTTATCCCACAGTTCCTCAGATTTGTCGCATTCTCCTTGAACTCTTTTGCATATGCCGTGATCATCATGAATATAGAAAAATATGTTCCGAACAAAAATGCTTTTCATGGCACGCGATGTAGACGTGAAACACAGATTTGCAGCAGACACGAAGTGAATGTTCCGAAATCAAGGATCCTGAAAAAGTTTCCTGTCGATACGGAGACCATTTCGTGAAGCCGTGAGTAATGGGACGCACTTTCCTCACTTAAGTGCTATATTTCAGCTGCTAATAATAATAAGAGTAATAAGAAAGAAATGGCCATGAACGAATGCACTGTTGCCTCTGGAACGTAATTGGAACTCACCGAATCCTGAAATCCAAACGATATTTCGCGCGTTCGCACCGTTTTTGGCAACGGTGACACAGATTGCCATTGTATTCTATTTGAGACGGATCGTGTATCTGTCTAAGTTAGCTTCCACTTTTTTCGTTTGTGGCCAGCTGGTCAATCAAATGTTACCAAGGAATGCTGAGAAGTGGAACAATGCCCAAATGTTGAATAAATTTGAGCGCAAATAACTTCGGGGTTTATTGCATCGTTGTTTTTCGCTATGGGATTCGGGCGAAAATTGCTCTTGCTTGTTCGTATTTCTTCTGAGAACCAGTCCGGTTCAGCTCTCATCTCCTCCAAGTATACATGAAGGAAGGCTGAGCAAAACGTTTCTATGTGCACAAAATAATTTTTGTTTGTTACACAAAAGTGAGCATTAGATTTTCTCTAAGAACTTCCCACCAGCGTTCATGTACAGTTCCATACGTTCAAACCACTTGGTGAAACAGCTTGACCATGCAAAAGCGGGTAACCCATTGACCAGTTCAATGAAAGCATCTAATGCAGCTGTTGGTGATTCGTATGGGATCACGCGAATGATGCTGTTGACATTTGGGACATTTAGACTTTAGGCTGGGTGAAAAACCTCCTGGATGCGTTCTCAAGCCAGAAAATAGCCGACGACATGGGATCTGTGTGGAGGCGCGTTAGCATGGTGCAGTAAGCTCCCTTGTGCTCGAGTCCTTAGAAGAAGCCTGGCAACAGCTTCCAGTACTTTCGGCAGACAGTGGATGGTGTACCAGTGATTGCGTTTTGCTGTATGGGTGGTACAGTAGCCATGTGACCGGTTTTAGCAATAAACATAGCCACCATGTGCTTTGTCACACAGTACTTACATTGGAATTCCCGAGGCGGCATCTCACTAACCGGCGTCCACTGAGCGGATTGTTCCTTGGTCTCTGGGTGGAAACTGTACCCTCATCACAACTGACGATCTCCCAAAATGCATTCTAACGTTCGCCATCAAATCTCGCAAGCAATGTGTGGCACCAATTTACACGAACTGCTTTTTGTTCCTCACCTAGCTTGCTCAAACCTTTCTGATGCCAAGCGTCTCATGTCGGATGGTGAGGATTGATCTCAAAGGTTTTCGCCAGATGTGCTACTGTCACCCGTGCATCGTCCTCCACCGTTGCCTGCACAGTAACAATGTTGCCCGCTGTGGTGGCCTCAACAGGTCTACCATACTATATCTCATCGTCTAGGGACAGCCTAACACGCTTGAATTTCGCAAACCACTCAAACGCAGTGCTTCTCGCAGGAGCTTCATCACAAAAGGCAGAGCGCAAACGAACAACCATCTGCTGCTGCTTTAGATCATAGTATTATTCGTAGAGAATCACCGCTCTCCAGTATATTTGAATGAGTTCCA